CCCCAAAACCCCAAAACCCCAAAACCCCAAAACCCCAAGAGACAATATAATATTTAAAGTTTCAAATGGAATCTTTGCACCAGATGGATGCTCCACATGAAGAAGTGGATACGAAAGGTATGGAACGGAGTTACTAGTCTGATGCTTCTTGCCACTTCTTGTCTCATCCACGCTCATGAGAGTGAGACTTGGTGCTATTGAAAGACTTGCTTTGGATACCTAAATATTGAACCAAAGCCTATAGCTAGAGTCTTTGATAGATTCCCATGAGAATATACTGCAACATAAGTGACTGGTGTTTCAAATTCCTCTATTACTGTGCGAGCCAGATCTTTAAGTATTCTCTGAATTGTTGTCATTGTAAATGTTTATCATACAAATCCTGTAATTGTTTCTTTTCTCACATTCTAACCTGCATATCCAGAATTGTTACCCTCTAGTATAGACCTGATGAGTAAAAAACTGGCAGAGCTTAAAAAGTAGGTCTTCTTGTGACCCCAGAATGTATTCCTTGCTCAGCCAAAGCTAAGTTGGATGAGTACTTTCTGGTTAGAGTTGATCCCCTGAAAAGTATAAGTAGTTTCTCTTCTATGCCAATCCTCTAATCTTGCGTTTCGTCCAACTTTCATAGCTTTACTTAAAAGCAGACGATATTTGAACATAAAATATCCTGGTTGAGCTTCACTTCGTTAATCTATCAATTCTCTGTCATCAGCCCATCTCTGTTATCATTGGGAGTTGTATAACAATGTGATTTAGGAGAGAAAAACAGATTCAGAAAGATTCAGCAAGAATTGACACTCAAATCTGTGTTAATCTCTATTTAAACATCAAGAAGTTTAGACGAGGATTTCAACCAATTTGGGATCTTTACTTCGAGGTTAATCTATCCAGGTAGACTCATTAGAGTTTACAAATTTAGATATTGAAAAATACTAAAGCAGTTATCTCGTTTTGTGATGCCTCCAGAATCAAAATTTTCATTTTGTAATCAACCCTTGGCAGGTTGCCATGTGAAAGAGTTTCTATCCAAATCCATTCCACCCAGGATTCAAGAGATTTGTGCTACTAGTAGTAGATTTGATAAATCACCCTCTTACTTCAATTTGATTCTCCGTGCCTGTATGTACACAATAGCAGATGCTAGCTTAGATGGTTTTAAAAAGTAAGCTAGAGCATACATCTATAGCCTGAACATGAAGCAACTCAAGAGGATGTTCTCAGCCAATAAGCATACAAAATCACTAACAATTTTCAATTGCTCGCTTCGCCTTCCAGCTTGCCCAGATTTTTCAGATTGATTCAGAGGCACAACTCTGTCCGAACTTAAATTATGTTATATTAAAGTGGAAAGCAGAAATGAGGAAGAGGAGCACTTACATGAGCTAGATGGACTGATCTCAGGCTTATCTAAATCTCCAGATCTTCATAAAAGCATCAAGATAATCCAAATTTTCCCCTCTGGAACATTCAAAGAGCAAAGCAACCAAACCCTGGTGAAATACGGGTTTCCCTTTTATTAAAACTGACTATACTCTTGTCCGCTGATTTCTTATTTTCTCCAACTGGGGATTTGGGGTGCCTAAGAGACTCGTTAGAAGCCTGCTTTATTTAGTTTAGCCTTAATTAATCAGAAAACTCACTTAGTTATACCTTCTTAATGAATCTAAGAGCAAGTTTGTCCACTGATATAACTCTTTGTGCTTCTAAGATAGCCTCTTTAAGTGCACTTGGAGCCATTTGGAATCAATTTTAGGCAAAGTTAGGAAAGAATGTTTGCTCTCAGTCAGTCAGGAGTCCAATAATAAGTTTAGTAGTCCATACCCTTTGAAGCAAATGCTAGACCAGAAAGGTTCAAATTGTAAGCTAACTAATTTTGATCACTTGCTCTCTACTAAGTAGGATGAGTCAGCCAAAATAGCCCAAGCATTGCCTTTATCCTTCCTGAAGTCATGAGCCTCTGACTTCATGAAGTGATCATTGGGCTTCTAAGTTCTTCAAGTGCAAATATCAGCCATTAGAAACATTTTTAATGATAAACTATTCAACAATCTTTCAGGATGAAATACTCTGTGATAGTAAAATAAAGTAGAGTTCATACTTATGAAGAAAATCAGCATTTCTCTTGAATAGGGTGGAGCTTCTTAAGAATTTACAGGTGACTACTTCTCAATATTATATCTGATACTTCTTTGGAACTGAGCATTAGACCTCTTCACACTAGAATCTTTATTTGAGTGTGGCAACTAAGCCAGAGGGACTCACCCAGATTCTGTTTCTTCACTTACAAGTGTTACTTAAAAATTTAGGATCGACAAATCAAAGGTAACGAACCAGTACTGATTTTGAAGATTGACGCTGGATATTGAGAAAGAACATTTGGGTTGAGTATTTGTTACCTCAATATTCATTCTAGTCCTTACAGCCCGGGGTTTTGGGGTTTTGGGGTTTTGGGGTTTTGGG